CCTTGGCCTTTGAGAGCGTCTCTCTGGAGTGGGAGTGCTAGCACGAGGTAAGGCCTTGACTTCGTCTGCCGTGTCTGGCCACGTCATTTGCGTGCTTTCGTCGTCCTCATCATCTGCAGCGTCTGTTCCAGTTGGCCCAGGATAATGCTGATCCCTGATAGAAGGTTCATTTGGGGGTTTCACTAGGTTAGAAAGGGGTTTTATGAGAGTAGGGAAGCGCACTGCGTTCTTCTTAGGTTACTAGCTCTTCTAGCTTTCACTTATAGATAGCTGACTAGACTAGATCATAAACCCACAGAGGAAAGGGAGAATCCAGCAGTTTTCAATGTGACCTAGACAGAATCTCTGCCTGAGGCAGTTATAAATTGTCAATGCTAGACCTCCGCAAAGCCCATAAATGGGCCCGACCTTTAGGCCCATAGCCCAACCAGCAGTGGGCTGTGGGCCTAACCTCTATAGCCCGCCCCAACCCATAGCCCATGAGTGGGGGCCCATGAGGCCCCCAATATAGCCCATTTCTATGCATAACTACGATCTTGGCGCTCATAAAACCGCTGATTAATGCCTGTTTTTTACGCATGTTCCAGTCTGTAAGCCTTTACAAGGCATACATCGGCCCGACGTTTTACCAGGCCTGATCTAGTATTTCAACTCCCAATCCGGGGTTCAACTCCCCCAAGAATCAAGATCTCAAGATCCAACGGCGACGACATAGTAATTAAGGTCGTAGATGAAGCCAGCTACAGTAGGCACTATAGTTTACCGGCGTCATCCAAAAAACAATCCAATTTCACCAAGTTTTCGTAGTATTCTAGTACTTAGAGAGTTCCAAAGTGTCAACATGTAGAGATATATATCTCATATAATTAGAAGTAGGTGCATGTTTCTGTTGAACTGTAGATTCAAGGGTCAAATCTATGAATTATAGGTTTATAGAGTTGAAATTTATACCAAAAGATAGCCAATCTCTCAGACTTAACGTCTGTCTTCACAGGAACGTAATATTCTGGGGATTACAGAGATATGAGAGGTTTGAAGATATCTCATGAGCCATGGGGTGAGATGTTTTGGGCGAACAAATTGTAAAATGGGCGGGGAGATGGGTTATCCATGGACTTTTCTTGGGCTTTGGATGGGCTGAATTCACTGCATATGCATGATCTAGCCAATCAGATGCTAGAATCAAGATATTCCGTTTTAATGTCGACTGCTACGGTGATCTCTGTTTACAATATCTGTTTGCTACGGCGTCGATACGTCGACAGTTCTCTCACTAAGAAGGTATGTCGATTTCTTCCTCCTGAAGCTATTCCCCTGAAGCCCTTCATCCAATTTTGAACCTACTATCAAGTTGTCATCCTGATCATGTCGCAAAGCCAGGAGTTTAGATCCTCCCAGTTGGGCCTGTTCGACACTGAGCCCGACAATTCGTCAATTGCTACGCCTTCTCTTTGCCCAGCTACTCCGTCCACCTCTCGGCAGGTTGATAGCTTCTCGTTCGTTGAGCCGTCTGTTCCTTCGTCTATCGCCCTAGATCCCCTTGAACGCTTCCAACGTGTCGGTCCTGGTAGGAGAGGAGGCCAGTTTTTCCTTTACGACGCGATGAATCACACTGATTGGGTCAACTGGTGGTTGGAGACTGACTATGGATCTAGAAACAAGATCGCTTGGGAGTCACAGCATGGCTCCGCTTCGGAGACCTGGAAACAGTTTGAGCAAGTGGCCCATACGGCGACTGGAAACCCAAAGGTCTTGTGTAAGCGTTGCGATGCAATTCTTGAGCACCCTTATACTACTAAGAAGGATGCCAATGGGAGGGTTGGTCGTCATGGCACGACAACAATTACCCGTCATCTTCAGACCTCAGCCTGCCAAAAGGCTACAAGTGGACGCCGGCAGAGGGCTGAATTGACGAGGTTCCTTCAAACGGTATACTATCATACCTAGCTCTACTAGACCCTACTAACTAGCATCATGATCAGGGTAGTCATAGCCAGACATTCTCGCAAGAAGGTTTTGAGAGTAAAATCTTGGAGTTTATTACTACTAACCGGCTTCCATTCCAAATCGTTGAAAATCCAGCATTTCGTGAGCTCATCGCAGAGGTAAGTCCGTCAGACGCCAGTCCGTAGGCGTCAAATCCCCCAAATCCTCCAAATCCGCCGTCTTTACCAATCAGCCTCTATTTTCCTCGTCACCTAACTAAATCTTAAGTCTTGAATCTAGGCACAATCCGCCCTAAGCCCTCCGATCGTGCCCTCCGCTGATACAATTCGACGTCGCCTGTCTGGCCGTGTTAAAGAACGACAGCATGATACACTCAGAATGCTTCCAGAACATGCAAAGATCTCGATTGCGTTAGACTGTTGGACATCTCCATTTCAGCAGGCATTTATGGCTATTACTGGCTATTTCATCGATGCCGAATGGGTCTACCGTGAGGTGCTACTCGGCTTTAAACCCCTTCATAGTTCGCATACAGGTGCAAACCTAAGTGCTATTCTGATGGAGACGCTTACCGAACATGGCATTAAGGGCCGAGTCTTTGGAATAACCACCGATAACGCATCGAATAATGAGACTCTGGTTAAGGCACTACAACAGTCTTTACAACAAGAGCCTTCGGCTTTCGGCTACTGGTTTTAACGTCATCCGGGTCCCCTGTCTCGCTCATGTCATCCAATTAAGTCTGAACCAACTACTTCACCGACTTAAAGCATGCCCAAAGAATGAACAAGCCGAGACTGTCTGGACAGAGGAACAACAGATTAGCCTTGCTAAGGCGAATGCGGAGGCCAGGTCTAAGAAACGGGACATTGCGCATACCTTAAAGAGGATACGATCTCTTGCTGTTTATATCCGCGGGAGCCCTCAGCGTCGAGATCACTTCCTCAAAGTCCAACACGACCTCGACAAAGGCCAAGGCAAAGTTCCAGGGCAAGGACTTATGCCGATCCAGGACGTCAAAACTCGATGGAATTCAACGTTTCTGATGCTACGCCGGGCGAAGAGACTCCGTACTGCTATCAATGAATACTGTCGTCAGTTCAACTGTACAGAATTCGAACTTGATGATGAACAATGGCGCCAAATTGACTATCTGATCTATCTCACAAGGCCATTCTTTGACTTTACGCTCGCCCTTTCGAAGACACGAGAGGCGACGTCGTTTCTTGTCTTCAGGATCTATAACCAGCTCTTTGAACACCTTGAGAAGTGCAAGTCGCAGCTACAACGAAAACGTGTTCCATGGAAACAGCAGATGCTTACCTCCCTCGGAGCAAGCCATTCAAAACTGTCGGAGTACTATAAGAAGACGGATCATATGCGCGGGCATATCTATGCGGTTTGTACGATGCTATCGCCGGATAGTAGATTCCAGTTCTTTTTATCTGATGACTGGGAGGATGCCAAAGAGATCCGTGAGCAGTATCGAGTGGCTTTCCGTGAGGCACTTACTCCTATCCAGGAGCGTCTTACTACTTTAAATAGCCCGCAAGTGTCTTCCTCTGGATCGATGCCAAGATCCTTCCTTCTTGGCCTGATGGCTCCCCCGAAGTCTCTCTCCAAACGCAAAGGCAAAGCTGGTAAAGCAACGCTAGGCCCGACTAAAGATGATGAGATGACGCAGTATCTCGACGGCAGTAAGTTAATCTCTATGTTTATTCTTTCTTGAGAGATGGTTTTTCGGCCGAAAACCCATCCCTATCTTCATGATACTAATTTCTTACAGGTTTAACTATATCTGATGAGCCGCTCTCCTTTTGGAGAGAGAATCAATATCGCTTCCCTGCTATTGCCGCACTTGCAAGAGATTACCTTGCAATTCCAGCCACAGGTGCTGGAGTTGAACGTCTGTTTAACACTGCACGCGATATCTGCCACTATCGCCGGGGCTCTTTGAAGGCGCAAACTATCGAAGAGCTGATGTTGTGCCTCTGTACGTCAAGGTTTGATCTTGAAGTGCAAGAGGCGAAGGAATTTGAGCAGTTCTTTGGCTCTGATGAGATTCAGATCCTGGTGGAGGAGGCTCAGGCGGCTCAAAAGCCAGGTGATGATGCCGAGGAGCCAGCTGAGGTGCTAGCTGTCGTCGACGTTGATGCGATCAGTGATGCTGAAGAGCAGGGTGATAGATCCGGTGATCTGATAGATGTTGACGATGACGATGACGATGCTACTATCGCTGCGGCACCGTCTCATGCGGCACCGTCTCATGCGGCACCGTCTCATGCGGCACCGTCTCAAGTGCGGACATCAGGGAGGAAGAGGAGGCATGTTGAGGATAATTTGTATGAGCATTATTAGCATGTAGATAGTTTTACCTCTTGGGATCTAATCAATCGATCTCATCAGTTGATCTCATCAGTTAATCTCATCAATCTCATAAATCAGTGAATTGCGTCGATTTCCATGAGATCTCAGTCAATTAGGGGCCTCAGGTGGTAATTGTAATACTCAAAATTACTAGGAAGGTCTACATAACTTATGCAAATGCCAAGAATTGGCATGTTTGCAATGTTTGGGGCCCATTTGGGGGCCCATTAAACCATATTGGGCTTCTACCTTAGGCCCATAGCCTACCAGTGGGCCTAATGCCAGGCCCAAAACCCGCCCCATTTATGGGCTGGGGTGGGTTGGGCTATGGGCTTTGTGGGCCGGTGCGGAGGTCTAGTCAATGCAAGTTCATGAATACTGGAAGAGAACCGGAGAAATGGATACTCCGAATACGCGGATTGGTCATTAGTGAATAGCATAAATAGCTTGAAATTGGTAGTAATAAAAGACAGAGTCATCGAGATCTTATTGGTCGGATGAAGTACGGCTTTTGAGAGTTATGAGCCCGGATCGCCAAGAATAGGACTGCTTCCAGCAATTGAAGCTATTCACAAGCTGAATAAGACCCCTAAAAGCGGAAAATCCGAATACCCCTGAATCCTCCGAACACCCTCAATTCGACCAAATACCTCCGAAATCACCTGCGTCCAAGAGAGGAAGCAGCAATGGAGTCAGCATCGATACTCTCCGCCCTTAGAAGCGATAAATTGAAAGACTCGTCCCAATGGCGAGCCTGGCATAAGCGAGTGAAGGCATTCGCAGTGCAAAGAACAGTCTGGGATCTCTGTAACCCAGATACAACATCACATCCGATACCTTTATCGGAGCCAATTGAGCCTGAATACCCTCAATCGGGAGATCAGGAAGAAAAGAAAGAATGGAGAGACCTTCTTGAGGTCTACAAGATTAAGGCGAATCGCTGGGAAAAGCAGCGGAAGGGTCTGAACGAGGTGAATGAGTATATCATCACCTACCTAGACGCATCCTTGCGAGACGTTGTACTAGAGTATGAGACTCCGTACGAACGCTTGGTGTATCTAAGCAAGCGCTTTGCTAGATCCCACGCGTATAAGGAAGAAATTCGCATGAAATGGAGAGCTTTCGCTACCCAAAAACCCATCGGAGATGTCGAAAAATGGCTGATTTCCTGGGATGAAATGCGTGAGCAAGCAGTGAGCCTCAATTTGAGCGAGGCTGCAAGTGCGAATAATGACTTTCTACAAGCCACAAAGGAAATCTTGCCAATCTGGTGGCAAGCAAAATATCAGGAGATCGTGATGAATGGTGGATCGGTTGATACTCGAGATCTGATTGAGTCCTTCAGGGCAATGTATCGAGAGATCGGACCAAATGCATTAGCACCGGAATCAGCACCATTAAAAGGGTCTTTCTCTACCTGGCAAGGCCATCAGGAAGCAAAAAAGGAGGTCAAAAACATGCCGTTCGAAAAGAGACCCTGCCCTTGTGGAAATAAGCATCCCCGCCATCATCCGACGACATGCTACATTCTCAATGAAGCAATCAGACCAAATGGATACGTGCCTAAACAGGAGGCCGTACAGAGGGTCGAGAAGGCGCTAGCATCAGACCTAGCGTGGAAGAAATGGATCTATGAAGCCATTGAAAAGGCGACTCCAAAGCCGTCTAATGCTATACAACCGCTACACTTCGGAAATATGGCGTTTTCAAGCCAAGCAATCGGACCGGCAGTAGCATCACTCCGAAACCGATGGATCCTCGATACTGGATCGGGTGTCCATGTCTGTAATGAGGAGAGCAGATTCATCAATCTCACTCCGTGCAATGAGATGCTAGCCACGGGAGATGGCAAGACAGCTGTTAAAGGTCGCGGCACCGTGAAACTCACCGGCGTGGACCCGATAACGAGAGAAGAAAAGACTATCACCCTAAGCAATGCATGCTATGCACCTGGCTTCCATGTGAATCTCGTGTCATACGCCCGTCTGAGAGAAAAGGGAGGCACCTGGTCAGAGTCTAAAGGGTATATCCAGGATCATGAAGCAATACCGATCGTCAGCCTCCGTCTATGGCATCATATCGGCTTATGGGTCTTTGATCAGCCGTATGAGGCAATTGGTACGACAAATGCCGTCAGATCATCCTCGACCCCACAACATAAAACCGCCTCAGCCGAAATGTGGCACTGACGACTAGGTCATGTCAATGACAGAGTAGTCCAGCAAGTGCCGGAAATGGTCGACGGAGTAAGCATTGGAAAAGCGGATAAGGCTAGCGAGATATGCGAGACATGTCAGCTAGGAAGGTCAAACCGCCAAGTGTCTAGAAGGCCAATTGGACGTACATTCGGACGTCTTGGAAGAGTGCATTTTGATCTAATTCACCTGCCGAAAGCTTACAATAAGCATCACTGGATATCGCACTTTTACATCGATGGTATCAGATTTCACTGGCTGATGACCCACGAGTATAAGCCAGAATGCCAATTTGCCATTGACCACTTCGTCAAGTTGGCTAAGAATTGGTGGAACTTGCCGATCAAGGCATTCCACTACGACAATGAGGCCTCTGCAGGCCGAGCATCAGAGAGAAGCTTAACATCGGACGGGATAGTGATCTACCACAGTCCACCAGCACATCCAGAGATGAATGGATAGACTGGGCCATGCGGGAGGCAGAATGGACCGTGCGGGAGGCAGAATGGACCGTGCGGGAGGTAGACTGGACCGTGCGGGAGGTAGACTGGACCGTGCGGCAAATCTTTACCCAAGTCTCAGAAAGCTTTTATTGAAAGTTTTGCCTCCACTAAGAAAGACAAACACTTCAAGAAGTCTTGTGATTGGGTATAACGAAAAATTTCGGACACATTCATAGGAGACTGCATGTATGACTTGCAATGCAATGTATATAAGCAAAAGCCACGGTATCCCTATAATTTCACACTAGGACTGCATCGAAAACATATTTTAAATTTACAACCCCGACACTGGTATAAAATGGCTTAACGTGATTACTCCGTGGAATATTCGAAACCTACGTAAGCTTTGAACTGTGTTCATGCTGTCTACTATCCGTGATCTTACACATAATCAATAAACAATACTCCTAATAGCCCGCGATGGCGCGGGTTTTATCGAGAAGCTGTCTACAGAAGCAATATTTTTAGAGATGTTGCCATACCTTGATTCAGAACCGACCCTCAACCACCGGAGTCCAGCTGTGGTGGCTGAATTTGAGCGAGCGTTTAGGAATTTTTGAAACAATATAAACCGAAAATTAGAGTGCATTCTCCAAGAACCTTTTGAGCCATTTAGAGAAAAACCAAGCCTTCAAATTTGGTAAGAAGAGAGACGGACAGAGCAGCATTTAACATTGCTAAGAGATTGCAAAGACTTGTCAAGGTCAAAGGTCTTTGATTGTCAACAACATTTATGTTTGCTTAATAGTAGTATTCTCGCTACTTCTAGAATTCCTACGTCGTGTACTTAGTCTGTCACCTTTGCTTGGTCTCCAGATGTATTTTCTCACTTCCAACTCTATGCCTTATGATAGTGTAGGCTCTGTCAGCATACGTCGAAACTTTTGTCTGATATTGATGCGCCTTTTCTTCTGTCCACCCATTGGGTTGCCTCGTCATTATTGCTATAAACACTTGGCCTTCAACCATCATGATATAATAGTGCCAGTTTTGCCCATCAGAAATTTGACTTCCTGGCCCTGGCATCGATGCAAGCAAGCCTGCATAAGTCACTGAAATAAAAAGTATTTAGTATTACCCGACAATGTAGTCAATCATACCACTTTTAGAGCTTTCTAAGTTCTAAATAACAACAATCATTTATACTACAGTTTGTTGAATTACAACCCTATGGTGCGCTTGTGGATAAATGCTCGACAAGTTGTAAGGGTCATTGATTCGTCGTTGAATGCAGGAGGCCCATAATACAAAATGCCTACAATGCAGGAGGCCTTTGATGCAGGAGGCCCATAGTGCAAGACACCTGTTATGTAAAAGGAACTCTATCGGGTAATATATTATGGAAGAAAATTCAGGATCGTGTGGTAATAGGTGCCGTGGTTGTGTCTTGCACGTTTTCGATAAAGTCGGGACGCATAGCTTAGCTTTTATTTTCCGCAACTCAACGGTTGTGACGCTACTCTCATGATAGGGCCTTCATGGACTGATCATGCGGGTTGCTTTGAAGCGAAATTCACTCACAATGAAACCTGTGGAGTGGATCACATTTTCATCGTAGATCGACAATGGTCGATACAACAGCGGTGAGAACAATACGCCGACAATGGTAGATTTGCTTTTAACATTATGTCAAATTGGTATATTCGACCTAACTATAGTAGAGGCTAAGATAAGATGATAAGCGCCCTTACATCGTGTGTATATCAGTTTTCTGCTCGTGCAACTTGTATTGCAGGCGGAAATCGAAGGCAGTACAGTTTGCATAAAGGGCGTCGGCCTGTTGATTGAAACATTTTCCTTAATTCATAAGCCGGTCCCTAGAATCTTCGCAACCTAACGCAGCTAGTATTAGACCCAAAACAAGCTCCCGCACAAACTAAGCCAAATCCCACAGCAACCGACCGTCTGTCAACCTCTACATTATGGCGCATGCTCCATTCTCTAAGACGATGACTTTAGACGACACATTGTACCTGTTCCACCACATATTTCTCCCACCAAAGCTTCCCCAGGCAAAAGATTACAATGCGCAACATGAACATCTTTTGCTCGACAGTGTCGTTGATGCGCTACGGAGCTTCACTGATTACGTTCCGACCGCAGATACTACGATCCTGCGTAAGGCTACTGAGATGATAGCTCGCCTAAGAAAAGCGCATGGCCATCGCGGCGATGTTGATGAAAAGCAGCTCATGAGGGTTCTGACAGAGCTACCCATTTGTGGTAAGTATTGCAACGCGCGAATCAATGCGAAACTTTCTAACCAGGTGGTAGGCGGATTCCTCCCCATTTACGTTCGGGAGCAAAACGCAGGCATCTTCTTGTAATGGCATAGCGACGCGATATATGTCGAATCATTTGAGTTATCAGCTCGCAATAAGGCCATTATGACAACAGCGGGACGGCTACGCCGTACTTTTCCTGGCCCTACCATGGCTATGGAAAGGGCAGCATTCGAGGAACCTGGACTCAAAGAGTTCATGGCGCAAACAATTTCAAGGATGAGTCACCAGCCTGTTGCTGGTACAAAGCCAAAGATCAAGAAATCTGAACAGCAGCATGATGAGGACAGGGACACCACACATCCCAAAATGGTGACTGAATTTCTAATGTCATCTCTCCGTCCGCGATGCACAGACAAAACGACGGTACAGATTCAGAAGAACACTCGAGAGGAGGTGATGTGGCTTAATTGCCGATCGCCGTGGCGCCGATCTGCATTATGGCTCCTGGTGCGCGTGGCGCCAGCCTACGGAGGTTAATAGGGATCACGAGTGCAAGAATGACAAATGGTGGCTTTTGTCGGGCAGAATTCCCGCTTGGCCGACTTAGAGGTAGTGAGAATAGTTATGCTGGTACCAGTCTAGCCTTATTAAACCTAGCGTAATACGAAGTAACGTCGTCTATGCCCAATTAGGCTTTAGTCTATCCAGCGCTCACAAATAGACCTAACGTCGGCCAACTCGTCTTCCTACCCTTCCCTGCCTATAAGGCACTAAAACAAGCTGAATTCTTCCAAATAACATGTTTTCGCTAAACAAGCACCTGTCTCCTCTTTCTGACTAGTCAAGACACGCAAATTGAAGTTGATTGAGTCTCAAAATCGAAAAATAACGCGAAATGACATATACTCTCCAAGTCCTTCCACTCCGCCATCTCTGTCTTATGCTAATTACCCCCTGCTTGCCCTCCAGATCTCCGAAACAGGCCCTGACTCAGTCATTCTCTCCATATCCGACTCTCGCAGCTGGTATCTCCGCCGGGTACGTGGTGGAGAGATCCCTGGCGGCACACGAGCTCGCTTTCGCCGCTGCGGCAGCGGTGCCGGTGGTGCTGGTGGCGGAGTGGCCTCCACAGCTCTCTGCGGTGATAATGACCTGATAATTGCTCCTAGTGATGGGAGAGATGATGGGATAGATGCCTCTGACGGCGGAGGAGATGGCGCTGGAGCTCCTGCTGCCACAGGAGCTTCAGCTTCAAGCTTTATCGTCACCGGTTCCGGTCTTTTCCTCTTGATAATCAGGAAGACCTCATAACTATCCTTGATCTTGGTAAATTTCGTACAGAAGTCTGTGAGGAAGCTGTTCATGATCTTCCCGCATGCCTAGGAACCAAGGCTCCTTTTTATTTTTAACTGCAGTTGCAAATCGAAATGTATCTCCCTCCTCACGTGTGTAATCCTCAGGGTCGAGCTCTACTAGAAGCTCGTTTTCGATGAAATCGACGAAGCTACTAATAGTACCCGGCGTAAGGATTGGAGTAACTGTAGCTACTCATAACGAGACAAGTTAGTATATCTCTCTTAGCTGCGGGATCTCTCCATACTTAGCTTTTCAAGCCTATCTGGCTTTCCCGATGCTAAGCACCAATAGAGATAGCAGTGGACGATTAATGAGACTGTCGCTGGCGCTGTAGGGACTTGAAGTCGCCCTCGGCCGAGGCGGCCACCTCCGGAGCTTCTCCCACCAATAAATTGGCGCTGAATCGATCGCTGTTGGATCTGGCGCTGCCGGATCTCATTTGTCGTCCCCGATAAGGCCTGGAAGCGTGGTTCAGGGGTAATTAGGCTTCTCTCGTAAAGGGTCGCCCTAGCCGAAGAGGATAAATTCTGTATAGGAGTTCTCGTGCTATACGTAGGGGAAGTAATCTGGGCAGTGGAGACAGGAGGATAAGTAAAAACATCTTCCCCAGTATCGTGGGACTGAGTATCGCGGTAGTGCGCCATAAAAACACAAATAGGATGTTTTTCGAGGAAGAATATCAGGTACAAAAATAATGTGAACATAGGAGGGAGCCGAGTCAGCTTGGAACAGAACGAAATCCCCTAGTAAAATTAGTACTCAGTTAAGACTTTATGACGAACTGAGGCATGGATATCTTACCACAACGAATCCACGGATAGGCTTATTTAGCGTCGGCGCCTTCCCCTATTAGTTTCGTATGGTAATCCGGATAGAGCCGGAAGTATAGCGCCGTGATAACCTCGTGTTTTGGCGTTGAGACATATATACGTAAGAAAGTTTATATATCGAATTACCTCCGTCGATCCCCTTCTTCCTAGATACTAATTGGCTATCCTAAAATCCTAAGAGCGCTATGGCACTCGCTGATCGGCCTGTGTTTGGATATTGGGCCGAGATGCTGTATAGCGGCGCTGAAAATTAGCTTTCCTGTGCCTCTCCAGGCTCCCAATCCCACGCGCCGAGGGGTTTTGTAGTGAGGCGGAGCACTGGATACTCATCCAATTGGTCATGGAGAAGGGCACGGCGGCGGAGTTCGAGATATTCTGCACGGTAAGGATGACTAACTTCCACTGGCGCACGAGACGGGGGTCCTCAGGATTGAAGTCATTCCCAGGCCCATAAAGCTCGGCTCCAATCTCCTGAAGCTGCTGGTGGCACCAAGCCAGGACGTCAAGGGGTAAATATTCATCTTTATCCCAGTCCCGGACGTCCTCCTGTAGCTCGCGAAGCAGCATAGGATCAACTGCACGCTGGTAATCGGGCTTAGATGCATTAAAATAATTCATAAAGGGCTTCCCGGTAACAGCGTTCGGCCGTGACTTTTGCTTTCGGATATTATGAATATTCCAGGTCTTAGCGTACTCGCTAATAACCCGGCGGAGTGTAGGCATATAGACCGCAAGAAGGGCGACTTGCTCAGGGATAGAGCCGGAGAAGAGACCTATAGAGGATTAGCGGCAGCAGCGGATAGTGGGCAGGATAACTTACCTTGTTCCTGGAGCTCCCGGAAATACTGGTAATAGAGGAAAGTACATGACTTAGATAACTGCGCCCACCAAGCCTCTATTCTCTGGTTATCTGTGCTTCGTCCTAGCCAGAAACAGTCTCCATGGGCAGCCTCTGGATCGAAAACCTGCCGCAGCGCCCATTGTGCATCCCCAATTAGGGATGTCTCCGAGCCGAGGTCAGACCGAATAATCTCCGGTTGGTAGCAGAGGTCGGCGATGGTGTCAAGAAACTGAGAGAGAACGCTCACTGCTGTACGAGAACTAATTCCCACGTATATCCAGAGAATATACCGAGAGTACCCATCAATAGCGGCATAAACCTCAACTCCGAACTGCGCTAGCTTCATATAACCATCCACATGCCACACGAAATTCGGCCCAGGGCACCAATACTCGCCGCGGGAGCGCTGGAGATCGTATGATCGGCGGAGGAGTGAGTCAGGGCGAAGGGAGCGGTAGACTTCGAATACTCGGTGCTGTGGGAAAAGAAAACCATGACGGCGAAGGTGGTGATAGAGAACGCGACGCCCATAACCTTCGGCATCGCCAATCCCAAGCTCCTCGGTCAAGATAACCTCGATTTCGAGCCGCTGCTGCTGCCTCTGAAGCGGGCAGTCTGTACGAAGCTGAATTCCAAGCTGTTTTCGTAACCTTTTAAGTGTAGGTTCAGAGACCTGGAATCCCTCCTTTTGTAGCACTTCGAGTGTCTCTTTAGGAGATAAACCGGCTTCGGTAACTAGCGTGAGAAGGCGAGCGTGCAAAGCTTCATTTTGGCTGGGTAGTTCGCGTCGCAGGCCCCAGGAAGAAAGGCGAGTTTTGAGCGTGCGAAGTGAGATATTGACGCCGTAGCTTTGTATGATGGTCTGGATATTGGCAATAGGTGTATTCTGAGAATATAAGAGAGTAATCTCCTCCCTATAAGACTCTAGGTTAATTGGAGGGCGTGGCATGGTAAAAATAGAGGTTATTCATACGAGCCCAAAATAGTAGGAATTATACTGTGTTAAAATCAATAGAAAGGATTGCCGGCTACCTGGTCATACGGTCTTATATACACACTACACTAGCGTAACTACTGAGTCGGAGATTTAGTAACGTAATCTACGGGCGAGTGAAACACCGCAAAATACCATATTGAATGCCATATTTTGATTCCTCTATATCTCAACCACTAGCGGTTTATTCTTGTTAAAATTTGAAACAACAGTTTTCCAAGCAAGAGCAATAATATATCTAGATTTTGAGCTAGTCAGACCATTATTTCGACACTTTACCATAAAATACAGCGTAGTTTTGATATTGAGACATCAATATATATATATCTCCTATTTCTTAAACTTTCTATGCTGCACCACTAGGTCACAAATGCTATTTAGGTTATACGAGCTTTTTATGCTATCCGAAAGAGCTATATTTTTGGAGATATGAAGTTGTTATTTATCGCATTTAGTATGGAGTTTTGGGATATTTCACACGCCCGTGTGTTTCACTCGCCCGTGGATTACGTTATTCCGACCTAGAACTACAGTGACTGGACATAAGTTTCTACACCCCGGCCAGCTCACCGTCTCTATTGATTTATACCGCCTACCTAAAGCGCGTAGTATAGAACCATGCTAAAAATAGTAAGCGACGCAAACCTAGGATGGGAGCATTTCCTTGAGACGATTCCGCAGCGGATGGAAGCTATTATTGGGAGCCAGAGGCGGTATACACCGTATTAGATTCCATAGTATGAATTCATGGAGGTTTTTGACTGGCAGTATATTATATAATCAGGGGATGGGGCCAGACAGTGTAGAAACTTATGTCCAGTCACTGTAAGTCTGTTCCTCGCCATAGTGGCTAACCTAATTAAGGTAGGGCGAACAGGATATAAAATACGGGCGGAAAAGGAGGCGGTATACAGATTGCCCAATTATATTGGATTCTGGGTTATTGCACTCGTGATCCCTATTAACCTCCGTAAATTGACGCGTTTTTGGATGGGGTGGCGGCTCGCTTGGCAAACACGTTATCTTTACCAACACCAATCTTATGTAATACGTACTTCCTTAACGTGAAGTCCGATTGCGCGGGCGACCCGGTTGCGCGAGCGACCCCACCAAACCTTGAAAAACCTTCAATTTTTAACCACTATTAAAACCACCAAAAAACATAAGTTTGGCTATTGAACACGTGTAGGGCATTTAGAATATGTATGACCTTTTATTCCACAGCCAGAACATGTCACCTGCCGCCGAACCAAGAGCATAGAAGGTAGACTAGGTTCCGTAACCGGTTTTGCAGGCACCTCTGGTAAAGATATATCTTTGCTTCTATCTTCATCCCCAACAACCACATCATCCTCACCACCCTCTAGACCCCCAAAGATGCCTTTCTGGGTACTAAACTTGTGTTTGGTCCCTCGCTTTTTGGTCTGTTTCTTGTTGGTAGCCTCCAATTGAGTACAGCGATTCTGGAGAAAAATGTGGTGGTGGACCACTTTTATAGTCATCTCGTAAGTCTTATTGATCTCCCTTTTTGTTGGTGAAGAAAGGATTGAAGAAGAAGATTGTAGACTTTTTTTGATCCGAGATTGCGATTTTGTAAACTTTGAAAGGGTCCAAAGGGTATCTGGATCACTATCGCTACCGGAAGAGACTGGTCGCTGAGAAAGGATCTCCAGAGGAGGAGGGAATCCAGGTGCACATTTAGCTTTTCCATGACCTTATTAGCATCGAATGGTGCTAATCCAGTAGCCAAAAAGCTATTCTTTATAGTGGAAGTCTTAAAAGCACCCATTCTCGCATCTGCGATCAGTTCAAGGAAATCTTCCTTGTCAATGGAGTTAACTCCGTTTCGCATCAAAGTTGAGACCGCCCCTCCGTAAAGCCTCTTCAAAACCGAGAAACAACCCACGTCCAAAGGCTGTAAAAGATGAGAAGCATGCGGAGGCATACAGATTGCGATGATTTGGTTTTCTTCACAGACTTGGTCAAATTCAGGGGTTAAATGACTCCCATGACCATCAAGGACCAGTAAGCAGTATTTTCCCACTCTTGTCCCAATATTTGGGATAAAATGATATTTTAACCACCATAAACCAATTGTATTGGTAGTCCAACCATTTAAGCTCATGGTTAGACGAGCTCCTTTTTGATTTGAAAGGAGATAGGGTCGTAAATGCTCTGGGAACTGTTTTCCTTTGAAGACAAAGAGCGGCGGGAGAACACTTCCAGAAGCTCTAATACACTCAATCGAAGTCACCCACTCACGATTTCCGGCTTGTAAAAGAGCTCTTTTTCCATGGTATTCTGCTGAAGTGATAATCTTTTGTGTTGCACCAATACCCATGGCAAAACCAGACTCATCAAAGTTGAAGATATCGTCTGAAGCGATACCCCACTTTTCAATCGTCCTTTGAACCAAATCAAACCATGGTTCAATAATTCGAGGGTCTTCTGAAAGAGCTCTCTGATAATCGTATTTGCGAGAGAGGCGAGTAGAGAGATTTGGGCGTCGTTTGATAAATTCAGCAGGCAATGATTACCCACAGTAGAGGGTGTAGTTTTTCGGGCATACAGTAGAAGATTGGCCATATCTCGCAACATAGGCAAAGTAAGAGCTGCCCCTCTGGAATCCATATCCAGTAGCCATTTTTCAATCGATCCCTCCTCAATTTCGGTAAAAATGAAGCGATTGTGTCGCTTTTCAGTAGCAGATTCGCGCCCATTGATCCGGGCCTTCAAAGTTGAGACAGGTATCTTAAAAGATCGCGCAGCAGCGGCAGCAGAGGGATACTTGCCATTTTTAATAGCTTGTATAGCTAATGAAAGGCGACCCTCCTGCTCTATTAACTTTTTTTCTTATCAGAGCGTTGGGAGGGCATTGTTTTTGTGGTCAAAGAAGATGCATCATTATTGAAGTGTATTTTTGGTGGGGTCGCTCGCGCAACCGGGTCGCCCGCGCAACCGGACTTCATGTTAGTGCTCGAATTTTCGATATCTGACAATGCAGTTTCTAACATTGAATTTAGCTTCAAGGACAACCACCGTGTATCTATTTCAACTCGTCGGATGCATTTAGAAGACGAAATCATGATGCTGCCCGTACTTCCTATTTGGGCCTGTAGAGCCTTGGCGAGCGGGCCCGTCTAACCGTCTTCAGCAACACCGAACGCCCAAGACTCTCGAACGAACCAAAACAATTTCTTGACCTTGTCTCACGAGCAGAAGGCAAGCGTGCTGTTGGTGTGAGCTTAACTGGCAATAGGCATGTCATGATGAATTCTAAGAGATGCTAATACTGATTTCACTCACACAGCTCACATTTTAAAGCCGAACCTGGTTCCCATGGGTCAAGGGAACCGATTGAGTTGGTGTGACCTGGTCCGTAGTCTGGGCTCCAAATCAGGTCTGCACGTGACTACTCGAGACTCTCTGATCACGTAACCAGACGTATTGTCGTCAACCAATGGTGTGTTCTCGACCGTGTAACAGTCTGTCCCATTTTCTACCTTCCCAGCACACGCAAAATGCCGTGCGCTGACTAATATCCAGGATGACAAATCCGGATTATCTTAATTACATAGATCCACAATTCCGACAGAGACGTTCATCTCCAACGTCAGCTCTTGGCGTTTCAATTTGCTGCTCCAGGAATAACTGAAGAGAAAACAAGGTTGCCTAGGCATACCACGTGATATCTTTAAGCGTTTTGTCTTGATTGAGTGACGAATTTCTATAAGAGTCTTGCAGACAAAAACACGAGGTTGTAATGTGAGGACAAGAAACCTTCGCGCAATGCCCATTCGCCGGTCCCACAAGAAGTCAAGACACGGTTGTACGGCTTGCAAACAGAGGAGAGTTAAGGTCTGTTTAATCTCCGGTGGACCTTCAAGCCTGCGATCACTAATGTATGAGCCAGTGCGATGAAGTAAGACCAGTATGCTCCAATTGCAAACAGCGTGAGGAGGACTGCAACTACGTGAGCGCGGCGTCATATCTGTGGGCTAGCGAAAAGAAGCCTCGTACTAGGACTCGGAAACGCAAACAGCCACCTTTAAAAGATGTCGAGCAAACTTCATCCCCGCCTAGCGATGCTCCTTTCTCTTTGCTCGATAGATGCGACCGCACCCGGCCTATTAGCCACCCTGCACCACCACCGCTAGACATAACCCAGCTACGTCTCTTGGTGAATTGGCAGAAGAATACGTGTTACTTTTTTCCCGCGATGCGGACACGCGAATTGTCTGGCAGGTGTTCTTAGTTGATGAGGCTTTGGAATCACCCTCACTAATGCATGGTATTCTGGCTGTTTCTGCGCTGCACCTTGCCCTCTCTGAGCCCGCTTCAGAACAATCATTCTGGTTTGGTCTCGCCACAGCGTATAAAGGCGAGGCTTTGTACGCGCTCCGACATAATTTGACGGAAATGACTCCAGAAAAGGCCAAATTCATGATGGGCCTATCTGCTTTAGCAGTGGTCTATGCTTTCGGCTCTGTTCTGACTGATGTGGATGACGTTCAACCAGGCCTTGACGCTCTCAACAATGTGTTTATTCTATGCCGCGGTGTACAGCAAATAACAGGACAAGCGCACTCCTACCTACAGCAAAGCAACTTCGCGCCACTTTTCAACCCTGGTGAACCAACTGTTGCTGTCCCCGATCATGTTCAGCAGTCTCTTGATCACCTTGACTACTTGAATACAGAGTATAACGAAGACGACAATGGTACTGCAACATACAGTCAAGTGATTACAGCTATGAGGAGCTTATCTGCGCACGCTTTCGCCCAGCCAAACTCCATGACTTTGGCTGCTGGATGGGCTATACGCGTGCCTTCCCAGTATCTTGAGTACCTTCAGTTACAGAGACCTTTTGCTTTGGTCATACACGCGCACTACTGTGCTTTTCTTCATCTAGCCCGCGGAAATTGCTTTTTCAAGAATTGGGGTCACTCGGTCTTAAGAGATATACTCAAACTCTTGGATCACTCTTGGATTCCCCACATTCAATGGCCGATCTGTGAAATATTTGGTGATGGATATCCTGACGAGTTATATAGTGGCCAGGCTCATACTCCTGATTTCAAAATATAAAACCTTTTGTGGAGCTCCATTAGTAGCGAGTCGCTCCGAAATGTTGGCCAAGAGTAAAGACTTACATACATTCTCTTACGGACAGTACAGAAATAAGTCAAGCACTGGATAGTACCGCCTAAGAGAGGCCAAGTTTCGCAGGCGCTGGCGATCTTCGTGGCATTTAAGACAGTATGTATTCTGTATACACTGTTATAATTATTCAGGTACTGAATGTTTAAGCCTGAGGACATTCCACGCACCAAACATCTACCCCAAAAGCTTTTTGAAGCATTTATTTTCATTAAGTTCATTCTTGCTATGGCCTGTGTGGCCGATGGTGGAGGGCTGGAAAGACACAGCAAATCGCCGAGATAAGCTCTCATCAGCTTATCAAAGGGCTGTCCACACTAGACAATAGAATGTCAAGCCAGCTGACTTAATTGCTTACGGGGTCGTCATCGCCTTAGTTCGCCGAAATAGAGGCGCGACAACCGATTTGTTTCGTCTTGGCTGAGAAGAGCTGTCAGAATGTGTGAGGCCGGACGGCATCGGCAGACCTACCGTCTGAAAGCCAAGGTCCATAAGCATCGTCGCCGCTTGGTTGATCATGGTATTCAAGTCTTGACCGCTATAGTAGTCATAGGACGCGGCATGGCTCGCTGATCGGGGATAGGCAAGAATCGGGTGTTGGACAAGATCGGCCGCTCGCAAACGGATCAGGTCATCCAGAACCTGGAGCTGTCCATATTCCTGAACCAGTTGGTCCGCGGTGTCGAAGAAATCGACCTGAGATGTCTGACCACTGCGTTGGATACCCATGGTGAGGGAGAGTTTGCAAGATTTAGGGGGATGTTAGAGAGCTCGCAGCATCGATCTCTGAGAGAACAAGGGCCCTATATAGGAGCAAACCAACAGGTTAACTTGAACATAATGGCATTGATTCTAACAGATAACGTTAGTGCTTAGGATGATAGAGACGGTCGTTGGTGATTTCAGTGTTGTAAGAGCGTTTGAAATCCAATCTGATCATCTTTTCCGCAAAGATGTTTATTTCAACATCCAGTTATGGCGCGATGGTTATTACCTGGCACTCTTCGTTCATCTACCTTGCTTACGGATTACGTGGTCTCTGGTTAATTACTGGCGGTATCGAGTCACCACGTGATGTGGCAATGAACACGCAGCGACAAAGGAGAGCAAACACCGGCAAATGTAAATTTGCGTCCTTGTCAAAAGGCGGAGTGGTGTTTCAGGGATAAGTTGCTAAAATTAAGCAACGGAGAGGTAGCTTGTCTTTAGACCTCGCCACGACCCGCGGGTCACCCTGACGACCCGGACCACGACCCGGACCTCGGAGGGTCCTGGGTAGTGAGTCCCGACCCTGACCCTCCATGAGGGGAGGGTCGTTGAAAGTGCCCCCCGACTCTCAGGGCCACGACCCGACCCTCAGGGTCGTAAAACAATGCAAACACCAGCATGTCGCGCGGTGCACAAATTATGTAGGTTTTAGCTCTATTTTTGAGTATCTCACTTACAGCAGTTCTAGGCTTACTTTGCTACCTTTGATCACTTTGAATGCATTAAACAGATAGATTGAAAGGATGAACTGAATAGATGAATTGAACGAATTAACTATATATCCAATATTTCATATCCATCAAGCAACCTTGAACGCTTGCGAACTCTACCAGATACTCGGTGCTGTATCTCTGGCAGGCATGTCACTTCACTATCATCTTCCTGGTCACCTCCTGTATCCTTGGCTATACTGCTTAAGCGTCTTTTGCCAAGTGCGTTTGTAGATAGGCCTTGTGAAGCTGCTTGGCCAGGCGAAGTTGCTTGAAACTCTGTAGAAGGCCCCTCATCCTCTTCATCATCACTGATTGGATCAACGGTGATATGTTGCTGTGTTCTCTCTTCCTTTGCAGCCTGTATCTCCTGGGCTGAAAGATATTCAGACAGCATTATTCGCTCCTCTTCAAGAATCTCGAAACGCGACGTGCACATATACATCATAAGATCCGAGATTGTTTGAGGCTGTAGAGAGCCCCGCCGATAATGACAAATATCTCGCGCAGAGTTGAAAAGCCGTTCTACTCCTGCACCACTAGCTGGAATCGAAAGAATATCCCGTGCAAGCCTCGCCATTCTCGGGAATTCATCTTGGTGATATTTCCACCAAGTTCGAGGCTGAGCATTTGGTACTGTGTCTGAAAGAGAAATAAGTAATAAATTCTGTCGAAATTAAGAGAAACTTACTACTATCAAGATACCTTGTCAGCTCGTCAGATTGAACTCGCTGTGGAATCTGCGATTGCTGCGACTCGTCTCGAACACATGCTAAATCAAATTCATCCGTTTCTGGAATCATTAGAGGAGCACCTAATGTCAGCTGCTCCCGCGCAAGGTTCTCAGAGTACTTTTCGAGAGAGGACTCAAGGCTCTGGCGATAGGTTGCTCGGTAATCAATTCCGCCTTCCTCTGGGTCCCAGTCGGCGGTTGAGAAAAACTGAAGTTTATCCTGCGGAGAAAGGATTGTGCCAATGGCATAGAGATCGCCATCCATATTATCAGTGTCTTTATAGTAGACTGAGAGCTTGCTTTTTGCCGCTTCGAGTGACATAAGCATTACTTGCTTCCAAGCGACCCTCTTCCGTCTAAGCCGTCTAATCGACTTTTCTATGTGATCAAATAGCTTATTGTAGACCTTAAAGACCCGGTGGATAGTGACGTCCTTCGACTTTGAAAGAAGAGTTGTGAATCGGTGAAAAGGCTGAAGGATGCAGATAAGATAGTCCACTTGTCGCCACTGCTCCTGACTTAGGGCAAAATGTTCTTGGTCGTACTGTGTACAGAAAGCATCGAAGGTTTGCTGGAGTTTCTTTGCGCGGACAAGCATTAAGAACGTGGAGTTCCATCGAGTAGCAACATCCTGAATTGGCACGAGCTTTGGCTCCTTAGTTTGTAAGTTGTAGAATGACTCTCGGCGCTGCGGACTCGCGTTGATATAGATCGCAAGGCTTCGAACCTAAGAGACAGATTAGGATAATGAATGGTAGAAAAGTTACGATATCTCACCTTATTTAGAGTGTCCACGATCTCGCGTTTCTGCTGTCTTGCACGAAGACTATCCACCCGGTCATCAGACCATGCCTGTTCAGCTACATCATTCTTTGGAGCAGCCTTCATCTTCCCAAGGAGGTCTTTAAGGCTTAACTGGATCACATGTGCAATACACGGTATCCGAATAATAACGACATCGTTGACGGATTGTAGTGACTCAATCGCGTCGTGGACACTTGCCATAAGGGTAACGTTATTTGAAGCGTTGTCGGTGGTTACCGTAAGCACTCTATCTGTGATCTGATACTCCTGTAGCAGCTTGAAGAGCACTTCACTCAGATTTGCACCTGAATGAGATCCATGTAAGTGTTCGAATCTGAGTAGTATCTCATTGTACTCCCAGTCTTCGTCAAGAAAGTATCCCGTAATCGCTATAAATGCCTGCTTAAATGGCGATGTCCAGCAATCTAGAGCAAGTGATAGCTTCGCACCAGAAGGGAGTCTCTGAAGGATACTCTTTTGGTTCTCACGGACTAGGTCTCGAAGCTGCCGGCGCATAACCTTAGCAGAAGGAATTTCCGGCATTGACGGTGCAAGCCGGGCGTAGGAGATAAGATCACGGAACTCGGTGTGCTCGAGAAACAGAAAGGGGAGATGCGATACAGCAAGAAGCTTAGCAAGCTTCTGCTGCCAAACTCGCTCATCGAATCTTCGTACCGTCGCATTCTGCGCCTAAACGTCGAGGTCAGATTTAGGATCGTCACGGTTAGAGTTAGGTCTTATCTATACCGCATGCTCTAATGCAAGCTTGATATTTGGTTTCTTCCCTGCAGCTGAGGCAGCTTTTCGGCAATTTACCCCATTATAGTGCTTATTCATTGAGGTCGTCCCTGAATGAGCCCAGCCAGGGTGATCAAGCACCTTCCGACATTGATGGCACATAACCCCAGGCTTTCCATCTTTTTCAAACGCGACTTGGTCAAAGTTTTTCCAGCACTGGGCAGCTCGTTTTGTATCCCAAGATATCTGTTTCTTTTGGCCAAAATCGGTATGAAGCCACCACTGCACGAATTCGCTACCCATTTCCGGTGAGTATAAGATGTACGATCTGATCCGATCGGGGCAAATCCGTGGAAGACAATCAGGTGCCGCTCGATGTAGAGACGAGGGAAGGGAGGTAGTTTGACTTCCAGATGGGATAGAGGAGTAAAGCTGATTTGAACTATCATTAGCAATATATTCAAGAAAATCCGAGGGAGGACCCCCATAAGCAGATGAAAAGTTATCAGAGAACTGGGACATTATGAAGATGGTTAGGAGAAGAAAAGTCTTACCTCGATCTCTTGTGCTATTCAGTAAAGAACTCAGGGGTAGTTGAGTCTTGTAGACAAGGGTCTACTTCGCAAACAAAGGAGAAAAGGTGATATATCATATTTGATACTACCGATACTAATTGGCTAGAACAAGGATTATGAGGGTCACCCTGAGGGTTATGAGGGTCACTTTGAGGGTCGTGAGGGTCACCCTGAGGGTCGTGAGGGTCGCCCTTAGGACCCTAGAACTCTGGAGTCACATAATTGAACTTAATCGACATATTCTGCTTAATTTTAGCGTAGCATAAGTGTTTAGAGAGTGAATACAATATATCAAATACAATGAAGTCAGGATTTCCAGTGGTTTTAGGTTATATCCAGAAAAATGTTAGCCGTCTCTGGATTGCGGTGCGACTACGTTCTGCACTCAAAATATATATTTCCACATCGTGATTTGCCAATCTCTCCAATTCTTTACAATACATACCACAACGGTCTCCCTTAGACCTGAGAATCTGTCAATTGAGTATTACCAAGCAAGAAGACCTGAAGACATATTTCATAAAAATACACAGGGGTCGGATAGAAAAAGATGAATTAAGTGTGTGACAGACGAAACAGGTATAAGAAACAGTAATTTGTTGCTATCTGTCAGCAAATTTATCCATCCTAATCAGGGAAGGTGTGAAGAATTTATGCATATGCGGGTCGTGAGGGTAACTTGGCGGGTGACCCTCCAAAGATTTTATGACCCTCAGGTGCGGTGAGGGTCGTCAGCCTACGACCCTCCCCTCCGGAGGGGCGGGTCAAGGGTCGCGAGAAGGGACCCACGGTCCGGGTCATGGCGAGGTCTAACTTGTCTTGCTCATTGATGAGGCTGGTTGAGGTCGTGTTTAGGGTTCTTAATAGCTCATAATTTAACAGTGTGCTCGCTGGTCAGACTTAGGCTGCGGCACTATCCAAATTATCGGCAGATAATCGATTATCGTATCCGTAAATTGCGGATAACGATATAAATTCATTATCGAATTATCCGCAACGATACGATACGATAATTATATTTTCATTTGCGGATATCCGCGGATTATCGTACGATAACAAATATTGCAAACATGCTAAGACTCGTGACCCGAACGAGTTTGCATAAATTATGCATTTTCCCCGGTATTTTTTGGAGTATTCAATGTGTAATTGATTGTATATTTGTCACGCGAATGAGTGGCCTACGATATTTTCTCCAAATTAACCTACTTTGTCTCGCTTTATTGCAACAGCATCCAATTATTCAAGATTATATTACAGGTTATCAAATTCAAATCCATCTGGCTGCTTTGGCTTCTTCCGAATCCTCCCTGATCTCCCCTGCGTGGACCCTTCAGTTGGCATTTCAGGAACCGGGAGGTCATTATCACCATCATCCTGAGGCTCAACGGCACTATGAGG